ACTACTGCCATCACCACTGGAGCTACTACCACCAGGACTTTCCATTACTGTTATTACTAAACCACACCCAACACCGAAAACTCCTGCTCATACCTGCACAAGCACAGAAAAAGTAAACTGGATAAGACCAAAAATAGTAGAAATTAGGATTCAGTACATAGTTAATAAGAATAAAAATAAAGTTACTTATAGACCAATTTAATGAAACCATTTTTGACAATACCAGAGATGCTATTGCAAATAGATGTAAGGATCGAGTGACAGTAAATTTCTATCTAGGTGGGATAAGAAATGGTTTCATGATTGTATGGCATCAAAAAATTTCGATCACTCCATTTAGTTCCCCCTTACACCTGCCAAGCAGCTCAACTTTCACCTGCATAGAAGCACAAGTTCTACAGTAAAAACAAGAAGAGAAATGCCAAATTTGAGTTGGATTCACATAGTTAATGGGGACGCAAAGTAATACCGTAATACACATTTTTAAAACTAGCAATCCAAAAAATACTGAGAGAAATTTTGCTAAAAATAATAAGCGAATATGCAATAAATCTAGTTTGGTGATGAAAATAATATCTTTAATTAGATGTGACAATTGTCCTAACAAATCCACTTCACCAAATACCCATATACCTAAATTGTTAACACGATGTTCAATTCAATTTTCTAAAATGGAAACAAACCAATGCTCATTAAGTAAGAAAAGTCCAATAAATGACATGTTCTAAGGTAGGCTAGGGGAATACACCTGTTTGGCTAACTAACCTACACCGGGGTCAAAATAAGGAACGGTAGGAGAACAAGGCCAAATTGTTTTTTCCCAAATACCGTTTGAATACCAAAAAGTTGTAAAATACCACAAAGGTGCTTTAAAATTAGTATCCGTACCTTGATGGATTGCACTTGGGTTCGGAATCTACACAGGCTGCCGCCAAAGGACCGTAGCCTCGTACCCCTGTAGCTCCCACTTGGAGCGGCTCCCGTTCCTCCCCGGAAACAGACCCACACAGAGAAAACTTTCTGACTTGTTCTTTAGGCTAAGGCAATGTAGATATACATAGAAAAATAAAACACCAATTAAAATAAAAGTAAGAACTGTTATTTTTGGCTGTGAACGATGATATTGAGAAATTAAAGTTAATAGACGACATGGATGGATGAATTTGTTCGATGTTGGTAGGCTAGTAGTACAGTACATAAACAAAAGTTCAAACCAGCAGCAACTTTCGGACCGCCCAAATCCAAATCTTCTCATGGCATTTCAAGACAATTCTATTTTTTTCTAAAAGAACAAGTGGTCTTCTGGGTTAAAATTCTATTTTTCGTTTAGCACGTGTTTCTTACAATGACAACAGAGTTCAATAAAATGCTTGCCACTCCTTTCAAACCACCCTCTGACGTGGATTTTAAAAATAGTTTTCTGACTTAACCTATGCTGATCGGCCACGCAAGGGTTTGAGAAAAATATTTTCAGCTGTTTGCACAGTTTTAACGTGTCATCTCTTTTCTTCAGTTTGCTCAATACCTCTGTTGGGTCGCGTGTTGCGAGAGTCGAGTGCTGTCATGTTTGGGTTAGACATTCCCAAGATGAAAATAGTTTTGTATGCTTTGACTTTTCTTGGGTATACATACAGTGGATATGGGGCAGATGTCATATCGCATCTTCGCGATGCGGTCTTGTCTGCTGAGAATGTTTTTGGTGACTTTCTTGACAATTTCATCCATGTAGCGAAAAAGTTTAGAGGTGTGTCGGAAGTCTTAAATGCAGCTGTTGATGAAGATTGCCACTTTTTGTGTCCAAATGGTTTGTATAATTTATTACTTCTTTGCCTTTTCTTCTACTGTCCAGTTTACATTATTACAAAAGTTATTGTGCGGTATGTCTGTGCAGGTATGAAACCAACAGCAAATAAATATCACAAACCCTCAAGTAATGGATGTGGGCCAGTTGGAATGGAGGTAAGTTTTTAAATTATAGATACTATTTCAATGAGTGTGTCCGAATTCAGCCACCGACCGAGCACCGACCGGTCGGTGGTCGAGCGGTCGGTCGTCGAGCGGCCGGTCGCGAGCCGCTCCAAGCAGCTATGCCAACCGCGAACCACGAAGTCCTTTCGCTGGGGATGGTTGCGGATCGCGACTACCCCCGCGGAGGACCCGCGGAGGACCCGCGACGATCCCCCGCGTAAGACCCGCGCC